TCCCTGGCCTCAGAGGTGACCCACATAGCACGGCAGATTTCTCCTGTCTAGCCCGCTGCTCCCTTCAGCAGTGTACTTTGTCGATCTGCCTGTTCTGCTCCCCATTCTGTCTCTGGTGAAGCCTCTTATCGTCCCTGCACCTCTGGCCTGTACTCCAGCTCTATGTGCACAAATAATTTTTTTAAAAAAAGTGATTTCTTTTCACTCTTCTTCTCTTTGCCTTTCCCCATCCAGACTATCCTTTAGCATGACTTTCTCTGCCAAAACTCCAAGATTTCTGTCTTAGAAACTGCCTATCTGTGTCAGTGTGCATGAGCACCTTGCTCTCCAGCCTATGGTCCAGTCTAAAGTGGACCTGGACCTCAAAGGATTTGATCAAACTATTCGAATGTGCTCACCCTGAGTTCAGGGAAAGAAGAGGTGGAGAACAGGCTAGACTTGAGAGAATATTTGATGTTTAGGGGGACATTAGAATGATCAATCTTCCTTTGGGACTTAGAATTACAGAACACCATTTACCCCATGATCTTGAAATTCATCTGTATAACTCTTCCATACTCAAAAGTGAAAACTCAAAGCAGGTTACTCATTTAAGTTTCTGCCAGACTGGGTCTCCTATTTCCAGTTCAGAATTTTGATCACTCCCAAATAGAAGGTCAGAATCCCAGTGAAGAATTGCATCGAGTCTATTTGCCACTCACCCCAGGCCTCCCTGGCCATTCTAATATGTCCCCATTGCTTCTCCGCTTAATAGAATTGTGGATGACTTTCCATTTTTTCTGAACTCCTTCAACTGGCATTCACAGCTTCCATGTTTGACACTAATCGGCACTTTCAGCCCAGTCCTCTACGACTCCCCTTTATACCCTCCATCCCACCCACAGAGGAACCAGCCCCCCCCCCCCCCCCGCTCCCTCAGTTCTGTGAATATATGTGATCCTGCTGTTCCCCTGTGCACAATGTTCTCTTCATCGAGAATTGCCTCCCAGCATTTCTTCCCTTCTCATCCCTTCCCCTGCAAGTGCCCACCCCAGTTCCATCCTCTCACTGAGCATTGCTGCACTGTTGGGAGCACTTTCTCATGGCCATATTTTCAGCTTCTTACTAGAGCAAAGGCCTAAGAATAGGCCTAACAATTTGCAGAATGTGGCAAAATTGTGTTCTCCAAAAATCTTTGGTGTTTACGAGGACTAATATACTCTGGTGTTTTTATACTCCAGACAGTTCCAGAATTTTGGGAAGTGTTGAGAGATGTGAGCGAGGTTGCTGGAGGGGAAGAATAACCAGCAAAAAGCTAGGCAGCCTTACCTTCCTGGAGCTGTCAGCCCCAGTGTGATGATGGCTATGGGGCTCACGCCACTGGTGGTACCTTGAGATGACCATCAAGGTAGCTGTTGGCGCTTGTATTCAGTACATCGTGACACAGATTCTGGCTGAGATTGCCCGGCAGCCCAAGGGAGACCTGGGTGTAGGGTAACTTTTTTTTTTTTAAGATGTATTTATTTATGCTTACAGTGGGGTACAGGTCAAAGATTCAGGGGTGATGAGAGGATTCACCAGAGACAGAGCGGGGAGCAGAACAGGCAGATTGACAAAGTGCATTGCTGAAGGGAACAGCAGACGGGTCAGAAGAGGTCTGCCACGCCATGTGGGTCAGCTCCCTGGCCGGGGATCAAGCTCATGCTGCAGGAAGAGTCCTACAGTAACTATTTTATCACTTTCTGTGTTTTCTGAACTTTGGGAGTCTCAGAGCAGACTTGCATTGGTAAGGCAATTTCTGAGTATTTCCTCCTCTCGAGATCTTCTGCTGACATCTTGACGAACGTGATTACATGATATTCCCAGCCCTGATCTCAGCTCCATGGGTGATGAAATTCACAAGACATTTACTGTGCCCTGTGTGGTTTTATTCATCGATTGGCCCAAGACAGACATAGCATATGTATGTAAATTTCTGGTTTAGCATTATCGCTGTCCCATGTCAGATCCTGCCCCGGGGAGGGTGGAAAGGTGGGGTGTAGAGGTCTGGATGGGGAACAAGAGAGGAGCTATCATTCTATACTTATCTTGTATTTAAAATGTGCCAAGCACCCTCACTGGCAGGCTTGGTATTCTCCTTCCTTCATCTTTTATCTTCTGTGATAAATCTGGTCTGGGCACAATCAGAGTATCGCCATCCAGAATCCCATAGAGAGGGTCAGAGGATCACACCAAAGCCCCTCAGCTCACCTCACTGGGAGCACTGAGCACTTTTTCTACAACCCCATTACACCCCTTCTTTCCTTGGTTCAGTGTAGAAATTAGGAGCAAAACACCTTCCCTCTCAAAGGCTTGTACTGCTAATGGGTGTAGAGTTTCTTTTTGAATGATGAAAGTGTTCTGGAATTAGAGTGGTAATGGCTGCACAACGTGTGAATATTCTAAAAGCCATTGAATTCTATGCTTTGAAAGGTGGATTTTATGGTATGTGAATTATATCTTGATTTTGAAAGAAGTTTTGTACCTAAACCTTGTGCAAAAAAAGTTTAAAAGGTGAAGCACAAAAACCAAAAGACCATTTGGACTTTCTACTCAAATGCTTTCTCTCTCTGTATGAGTCCAAGGGCCAACTGGTCCTGTGGGTGCCAGCGGGGGAGGGATCTGATAGACATGCAGCTGTCTTAGTTCCTGTTCTGTCAAGCTGGAGTGACCTTGGTCTGAATATTTGCTTGTCTACTTCCACCGTTAAACAAAGGTAATGAACCTGATTGATGCGATAAGACTCTCCTAGGAAATGAAAATTTGGTTTTTTTAAATATGATAGAGGCATGCAATATGCAAGTTCTTCTGAAGAGGGGCTAAGTGACATGGGGTGTGTTGAAGAAACCCTGGGCTGGGTGAGAGCAGATGCTGGCAGGAGGCTGAACAGGTGTGGCTCTGTTTGATTTAATTATGCCATCAGTTGTTCTATTAAGGGCCTTTACTGCCTCCGAATTTTATGTCTGTGGTGAGGAGGAGGTGGAAGCTTCTACAGTGGCAGGAAAGAGACTCGGAGGAGGAAGGCATGTTTCCAGGATGGGGACTTTTGGTGTTTTCATGCGAAGCTTTGATGTGAGGTGAAAAGGATCAGCACAACTACAGAGTAGAGCTTGTGATTGCAGGGCTCACAGGAAGTGTCAGCTGGTGGCTGCGATATAAGAGGGCACCCTTGGAAGGCAGATCCCAGGGCTTCTCTTCACCTGGAAATCTAAAGAGCTTCCTTAGAAGAAAGGTGAACTCAGGAAGCCAGTGTCATGGCCTCACTTAACAAATGGAGTTGTGACTGTGGAAAGTCAGGACCAGCATGCAGGGGTCGCCCCTGCTTCCCACTGCAGCTTCCTGGATGCCTGTGCTGGTTGCTTCCTGGAGTGTGGAAGCTTCTAGCCCAACGGTCCTGGAGTCTTCCAGAGAGAGGGGTTGAGGATGAAGGGAGCTCTGCCTGCCTTGCCATTGTTCTTCATTCTTCCTCACATACCCAGTTTTACTCTTTTGCCTGGGGTATTGCATGGTACAATGAGATTGGGAATCATGTCAATGCTAAAGACCTGTGGCAAGATTACGTTTTCTTTCTATGTTTTCACGAAACTGCCAACACTTGCTACCATTACTCTCCGTGAGTTGCTTTGGTGAACTTGGGGGTTTCATCTAAGTGTGTATCTTACTGCCTAGAACAGTGCCTGGTGAATAACACATGCCTGGGGAGTATATGCCTATTAAGTAATTTAGTGAATGCATCTATAAGTTAATAAATAAAGCAGAACATCATGTGTGCCCTCCCACAAACAGTGAAAGATATTTATAAACTCCATAAATACTTAAAATTGCTTTCTTCTTTATGGTTGTGGTACTTGATGAAAAAACTATTCTAACTGTGTCTTATTAAATCTTTTTTTATGTGTACAGGTTTTTTTTTTTTTTTTGGTCAAAGATGATAACTTTGGGAAGAATCTGTGTCTTTGAAAAAAAAAACGAAGTTCTATAAAGCTCTGTTCTGCTAAAGTGTATTCAGCAGAATGTTAATTCCCTAGGGTAGTAATAGTTTAATAGTTCTTAAGGAGAATATGATTTGGGGTCCAGTTGAAGTTCAGCAAAGGCTAGCGCAACAGGGTTCTCTGCTGTGGCATGTCTCCAAACTTCGATGCACTATCACTTAGGGATATTGTGAGAGCGATATGGAACACTGGTCTTCTGAAGTGCTAATTTAGCACTGGTGTGAGTACCTTACAGGTTTTGGTATTTTGTCATTACCTTGTTAATGATAGTCTGCTGTGGAATCAGGGCCCTGAGAGTGGGTGAGTACTTTTCTCTGTGATAAGGGTTCACTTCTTCACTACCCTCTCCACTCTGCTCTTGCAAGATATGAGAAAAATTAAAGGGAATTAAAACATTACCTTCTAAGCAAGTATCAAACATGCCCAGCGGTCTATGCAGCAAGTGATGGTGGTTTCAGAAATAACCTGTCAGCCCCAATGACTCTCTAGTAATCTCCCAGGATTGTTCCTTCATTGCCAGCTCTCTCCACAGCAATTACCAGCTCTTTCTTTGGTAGAGTCACTGGATTGTCTAGGAGTAATTGCTAGGGAACAAACACTTTAAATTTTACAAAAGCCAAATAGCCTTGTATTTACCTCTTGGGGCTATCAGAATATTCAAACTGTGCTAATTAAAGGATGTTATTGATCACAAAAATATGGGAAGGAACTTGAATTTTCACCTCAGTGTTGTTTGCAATAGGTGAGAAGTTGACTCACTAGATTATGGCATTAAAGCCCTATAGGGGGTAAACTCTCTTCCTCTTAGGGTCTCTTCCCTTTCTTGGGATTTAGAGCAATGGTAAACCCGATCTTGGCTATTCTTCGAACCCCTTGCCATCTTCAGTTCATGCTAGCTAATCCATATCAATGCCTAAGAAGAAGATGAAAAGAAGACTTGCACTGGTCCAGCCCAAATTCTGACCTGTATCTTTGGATTTTGTCCTCCAGAGATCTCAGGGAACACGGAGGACATTCCTCTGGTACGCTGGAGGCAGCAGTGGCTGGAAAATGGCACTTTGCTTTTTCACATTCATCATCAAGATGGTGCCCCGAGCCTCCCTGGCCAAGACCCAACTGAAGAGCCCCAACATGAGTCAGCAGAAGAAGAGCTGAGGATTCTCCACATCTCAGTCATGGTGAGAACAGCACATCCTTGTGTCTCAGGCCACACCTTAGATTTTCTTGACCTTAAGGCAGTGGGGCCTTGGACATAGCTCTGTAAGATCCAGCTTCATGATGAATGTTGATCATATTAATAAATGCTTTTCCCACTTATGAGAAATAGTATAAGTAAAAGTGGCCATTATTTCTACAGTACCACTACCCAACTGCCCTCTCTAGAAACATGGCTGGACATGGAGTCACTTCCAAGCCAGAGACACTATCAGATAGGGTTGGTGGATTGTCTTCAGGACTCATTCACCTAGATCAGAATATAATAGTTCTCTGTTAGTTTTTTCTAAATGTCTGAATTACCAAACTGCTTGCTGCTACCGGGTCCCCGGGTCCCTTCTCTCTGAATGGGAATATTCATCCCCTTGGCTCAATTCCCTTTTAGAGCAAAGGACATGTCAACAAATACTTGCCCCATTTCTAGCATGGCTCAGAAGGTTCAGGCCCCAAGAAATTAGAAAATTGTTCTTAAAATTGTAAAAGCTTATGTTTTAGAATTGCACTAGAAAGTAAATACCACAGTAGTAGGTGAAGGGTTTATTTCATGTTATTTTTTCACTAGTGTATCCTCAGCACCTAGAATAATAAATTCACATAGCCAGTGTTTAGCAATTTTATGTGGAAAATGAATGAATATTCTATTTGATATTTTATGTCCTGTACTGATTGTACTATTTTGGTGTTGTCCTGTAAAACCTACATACCCTATAAACCTAGGGTAGCCTGAGTAGAGGTCGATTATCCAGAGGTCACATGTATGGAGATATGGGCTGTTTCACTGTCAAGAAACTCGGTAGAGAACCATCCTGGTGCTATTCTAAATTTAAATTCATCTGTTACTCTGGTACCCTCACTACATGCCTTTAACTTTGTTAATCAGCTTGGAGAAAACTCAACTTGTGTGTGTGCACGTATGTGTGTGCATGTGCATGTGTGTTTGCCATGGAAAATCCCCCCGACCCCATAAAATCTTGGACAAACTCTCTTGAATGTAAGCCTTCCACTTCCCATTTCTTCCTCAACCAGCATCCCCATGAAAGGCTGACTTGGTAGATTGTCTTCAGGACTCATTCACCTAGATCAGAATATAATAGTTCTCTGTTAGTTTTTGCTAAATTTAAACTAGATGGTGGAGAAGAGTCCTTGAAGAGCGAATGGTAAACCTCAATACCATGTAAGGCCAGAAAGCAGGCGGGTAAACGCGATCACTACATTTCACTTTTATAAATTAATTGAGATGTATAAAACATGGTAGTACTTGTACTTCTCTAATCAAAGATCAGTGTTTCCTCTCTCAGAGTCTTGTAGTTTCCAGAGACTAAGATCAGGCAGATACACCAAATCAGCCCTGGCACTGACTGGAACAACCAATGTGGAGGCTACATTGTCTGCAATTTATAATGTGGGCTGATTGAAAACAAGGGCAGAGTGGTGGACTTCACACCTGCCACCCATATCCGCCCAGTGTGGGAACCCTGGTCATGCTTTTGTTCAGTTTTATTTCTTTTGGTTCCAAGTCATCTCAAAGAACCTTCTCTTGTTACACCAAAGAGATGTTTAGGGCAACGAACAGCGTATAGACTTTCCTAAGGACTACATTGTACATTGGGTACACGTGTGTTTGGAAAAAAGACCCTGAATATAAGAAGCTGAGATAAGCAATTCATCAGGTAGAAGGTGTGTTCGGTGGGGATGGGAAAGTAGTGTAAGGATCTATGGAAAGACAGCTTGTAGCTTGTCTTAGTGGTACAGCGTAGCTTGAGTATAGCAAGCACCCCACCGTCTGTTACCAGATTGAGATGCCCCAATAAGACCTCTAGGGAAGTGTGTGAGTGTGTGTGTGTGCACCACGTACAGGGGCACCCATGTATTTTTGGGGGTAGGTGCCAGTGAAGATAGACATATCTGATCAAGGACCCCAAAAGATTTGAAGAAATAAACTGTACCCTTAAAAAACACACTTTTGAGAAACCCTACATTACTAATGCTTTCATTTTAGACTCTCTGGCAGAGATTAATGGGCAGTGGACTATGAAATGGGAGGGAACAAAATTCAACCTTCAGCCTGTCTCTGAGATCTTTCCTTCACGTGCTACCAGGTATCAGTGGCCGGCCACTAATCACATTCTGTTTTCCAAACAGAATGGGAGAGGTTATTTTTTCTGATTTATTTTAATTTACTTCATGTTATTTTCATCTAAATGGGAGGAAGCAGAGGTTAAAAGAACATGAGCTGAAGTTGAAAGTGGGCAAGTTGTGTGCTTGTTTCTGAGTTGGTCCCTCAGAGGTGGATAGAACCACATCTCCATGAAAAGATGTGTGAAGATCATTGACCTCTGCAGGAGAACAGGGAGCTCGGTGAACTGAAGATGTGGATACTCTCTCCCGCCCTTGTAAAAAACCGTGTGGCCAGTGGCTGGGTCTGGGTCTGCTGCTGCTCAGTTTCCCTCCTCAGTTTCCCTCCATTCCCATTCCACTCTGCACACCCTAACACTGCCTTTCTTAGCCTTAATATTCTAATCTAGAAACAGGTTCAAAGTCTAAAGTTCTTTGTCTGCCCTCAGCTTAGAATCTAGCCTGCGGGTATTGTGTTTGAAGCTGTGGTTCCTGGTGTCTCTGGTGGCTTCTTAGACTCAGAGATTGGTAGATTTTCCATCAAATTGCAGAATGTAAGCCTTAACCCTTGTGTGTCTTTCTCAACCAATGTCTCCAGAAAAAAAAAAAAAAAAAAACGGGCTTGATAGATCCCCCGCATATAAGCAAGCCACTTTATTTAAATTATAGGCCTGAGAAAACAATCTTTGAATAGCAAATGGTAACCTCAATGTCCAAAGTGGAAAACTGTCTACTTCTGCCAAATGCCTACTGAAGGCTAAAGTGTATCAGATGCACTTTTTGCTATGTCTTTGCAGGGAAAGTAGGTAGCCATTTGAAGTAACTTCTGACTTATTTGTAAGAAGATAGCAAAATGCTTTGACTAGAAATGGTGGTAGGCAGCAAAGTCACTTAAATAAAATCTTATTATCCAAACCCTGTTAGTTCGGAAAGAGCAATAGCAGAGCTATTTTTCATTAACTGAAATGATCAATATTGATGTTGTTTTCAGTTTAGATCTGAATAGCATAATTTGAAAAAGGGAAAGTTAAGATTATTAACAAAACATGAATACACCCAACCTTTTCTCTCTTATTAAGAAAATGTATATTTAAAAGCTTAGCTGATAATCCTGAGTATGTCCAATATGTGCAGAGGGAATTAATGGTTCTATGAAAATCATCAAGTTTACATTTCTCTCATTTTCTATTTACACTTTTCTCATCCATATTGTCTCAATGCAGGGACCATTGTTTATTTTTATATTTTGCATTTACTCTGTTTTGTTTAAAACACAAAATATAAGTCATGAGAGAATGAGAAGCAAAGGAAACCCTTTTTGTATCCCTATAACATTCTATGAATGAGAATGTGTAAGTCTTCTCTTACAGTGCACCCAGTATAAATATACCATCAGCAAAACTATGGGCTGCTTGCAGAAAACCAATACTTCAGCTGGGAACTTGGCAATTTAAAACTTTGAAAAACCTTTTGCCTTTTTTATTTTTCAATCACATCCTAAAATTTTTGAATTATTTTTTCCAAAGAGGTACTATTTTTCCCCTTGCGTAGAATAATTGGATTTCCCTCTTGAAAGCTTATATTATTTCTTTGAGGGTCAAATGATGTATTTTAACCTCCTGCATGATTCAAACTTGGCTGAGGAGATTTATTTCAAATTGTGCAAGATAATTGACATTTAGAACTAAAAAAGTACACAAGGATACACTTTTGCAAACTCTGGACCCAGTGAAAGCAAAATCATCAGATGAAAATTGATGTGTGAGTTTAAACCAGAAGTCAAGGAATTCTTCATTTATAAGCAAAATTGCTTATGCCATGAAAGATCAGGTTTTAATACACCTTTCCATCAGCTATTCAGACGCTTTATGGATTTAAATACCCTTGTACTTTAGTTAATTTGCCATATGATCTACGTTTTCTTCTTAAAGTCTATAAAATAATTTAATGGCATATAATAGAATTTTAATGTATCATCTATGTATGTTATGTTTGTAATGCACAACATCAGTATTAATAGACTTCCTATATGCATATAGGTTAAAGTACATTTTCACAGCAAGTAGGCTTTGGAAAATGCTTCGCTTTGATACAGATATTTTATCGTGATAACTCTCACTGGTAGATAATATCTTTGTAGGTCACCCTTTTTAGGTACAATTTGCAATCATGAAAAAAAAATCAACTTTGACCTTTTGGCCACGCCCTGAGGGTTTTGTGACTGGCCCCATGATTCAAGCCTGGGCGCCACTGGGCCTCCCAGCCCTGGCTGGTCAGTGCCTGTCAGCTAGTGCCAGCATGCTCCTGTGTGTGGCCCCTGATTGCCAGCTACCCACAGGACCTCAGCTTGTCAGAGGCCCACAGGAGCCTGATGACACTGAGTTTTCTTCTGGGAGAAATAATACCAAGATTCAGAGACAAGAACCTATTGTACGGCCCTAGAATCCAGGAGAAAAAAATGAACAGTCTAAGCAAATGCCATTCTGGGGACATAACAGGGCCAATAGATCCAAAGCCACGACACACCTCGGGGGCCTCCAGGGTCACATGTCCAGACTGCAGATACCTTTGTGCCTAAGGACCCATCGTTGCTCTTACTTACTTCTTACCTGTGTGTCCTTGCTCAAGTTCAGTTCAGCTGCCTGAGTGTTATGTTACTTTGCTGGCAGCACCACTGCTTCTAGAGTATAGGGGAGAACAGCTCCAGACGTGGTTATTGCTATGTGGCCCCAAGACTGTCAAGTGTTTATTAAGTGTCTGTGGGCACAGGAGAGAGGGCTAGATGCTTTTTCTTCTGCACCTTCTGCCTTCAGCAAATCTGTTGCAGAATTTTATTAGCAATTCATTA